TTTCCAAATTACTTATTCTACCTGTGACCTTGTTATGTTATTTTCTCACATTTTCCAACTTTTTCCTCCTGACATTATGACTTTATTTTGGCCCTAATACCTGAACAACCCAAAGCAGACACATGTACAGTATCTATGTCAACAGCTGACATGTTCTTAAACGATCACTGATGAAATGGTTGTTGATGAAAACAGAATCCCTGAGTTACATTTCCTGCTGACATTGTATGGCAGATTTTTCTTTTGCACACACTCTTAGTTTTTCTTCAACTCCTTTTGTTGCATAAACTTTGTACAGTGAATGAAAAAATGAAGCGGTACCAAAGCTGGAGTAGACTCGAAGTCCAGCAGGCTGTTCTCCAGCCGTTTTACAAACATTGTTGAAATCTTGAATGAAGTAGAAAAACTGGACATAATTACAAACATGTTTTTGTAGAAACCAGGGTGCATAAAAGTGCTTGTATAAAGGAAAAATAATTCAAAATTTTCATATAAGTATTTACATATTCTTTTTTTGTGCAGCTTTTGGCTAACATGAGTTGTGGAGGATGAAAAGGATGCAGGTCGGCGTAGCAACGATGCAAAATGACAGAGAGATAACATATCTCATTATAATGGATGAGAGAGGAGGATGTCTCCTCCACTGTAAACAAGGAATTAAATACATTAGGAGATCTGAACTCATTGACTGCACGCTGGCATTCATTGTCTTCAGCAATAACATCAAACACAGTCTCATTCTATTAGCTGTACAGAAGGAAAGCTGGGGTTTAGTACATTTTTAGGGCAAAGTGCTGTGTTGTCTTCAGACACATTATCATCAAACTAATTCAACTTGGCCTCGCCGAAGATTCTGTTTCTAAGTTCCTGAGAACATAAGACTCTGGCCCCAACCAGAAACAAGGCAGACCTAAAAACATGACCGGCAGAAAGGAAACATAATGACGGTCATTAAAAACTGAAAGTCCAGGGACCCATTACGTGTTGAAAGTATAAGACGAAGCAAGAAGGAGTTTTAACCCTTTATCTAAAGCCCAGTTTTCAGTGTTCGACCCTGGTCAGACCAGAAGTGACGCAGCAAATATAAATTGTGTGTCCTTGTAAAACATGTGGTGCTGACAGCATAAAGTAACCGCTTGTGAAGGTAGCTTCTGAGCTGACAGTTTACATTTGCTTGCCAGGAACATGTCAGCGCTAGATGCCACATGTGGGTGAAACGTCTGAGGTTTGAAGCCATGCTGCTGAAATTTCATAGGAACTGATTTTCTTCTAAAGCCAACAATGTAACTGCTTAACTTTAGAAACATTCAGCTTCTTACATGTGTTGGTAGAGATGATCATTGATCCCAGGAAATGGTTGGACTTTTCCTGAAAGACTGAGTAAGGAGGGATTGTGACAGAGGTACTGAAGCAGCTATCGTGAAGGTGAAATTAGCTCCTTATAGCTACCTGGCTTGCTAACTGCTGTTCAAGGTTACCACAGTTTATTCAAGAGACAATTTTCTCACAAATGCAAACAATTTGCCATATACCCATGGCGGCCATTTTCCTCTGATATCACACTCAGGGTGGGGAGTGGTTAATTGCATGCCATGCGTATACGGTGAATGCCTCTTTTGTGGAGCTTTAGTCTCGTGCAGGGGAATAATTAAAGGAAGAAGGTCCAACACAGCTAATATGTTAGCTTCCTCTGTTTTGTGCAATCCAGCTCTCTATTCCCAGACAGTTTGGTTTTTGGTCCGTGGAACAAATTTGGATGTCAAAGTTTATCGAAGTTACACTTCATGCAGAAGCTCGTTTTAGATTTACTTCACCTCTGTGAGAAATTCCACTAACCAAAACACTTTTATTGAAATTTTGCCGTGAAATCATAAAAGTTGGTCTGACCAGGCCCTTAACAGGGGACCATATGTGATTTATTATAATTGCAATATTCAGTATTCAATATGTAGCCTATCCTTAAATACATATTCTACACAGTATGTCATCTGGGCAGTTACTTGTAATATTTGCCCCCATTTTAGTGGACTGGTGATGATCTGATTAATCAGATGTGTGTGTATGTGTGCATATACATATTATATATGTATAAGACCCCTTGGTATTCCAATACACATAGTATTTGGATACTACGGATAGCATCAACTACTGGGTCAGTGATCTATGGTAACAATGGTATCACTTGTTTAAGTATTAGGATTTGACAGACATATCTGCAAAGATCAGATTTTGTGCACCCATGCAAATATGCAGTTCCTAAACAATCCCATGAGGTCCTTGTGTAATACTGGTCCTGTGCAAATAAGGCTTTAGTTTCAAATGAGTGGCTGGACTTTGAGTTTTTCAGGCCATGACATTTTAGGTTGTTTCATTTCCTCTGCAGCAGTTGCAATCTGCCACTTCACCTGCAACAGTACTCTCAGATTTAGATGTAATGGGAAATTCTTGTGTTTCTCAACCTGGGTCTTACCCTCATATTTCTGACCATTGTGACAGCTAGTCACCTGATTGTATAGATTTGGTAACAAAGTCAAAGAGGACAAGGAGCAGGAATAGGACAGTAAGACCATGTTTGGTCTGAACTTCCCTTTAACAAAGAAATTGAAGGGCTTTTTCTGGACATGGGACTTCTGAGGAGCAACAGACAGAAGCCCTTTTTAAGTGCCAAAGTGTGCTGGAGTGGGAGCCAGCTCTGTGTGGCCGTGGTCCTGGGAGGAGAAGCAGTCATCAGAGTGGGTGAAGTGCAAGGCGATCTGGTTGTAGCTCAGCATAGCCTGCTGCTTCTCCTCCGGGCTGTAGTCCAGAGAGTGGGGGTGTACCTGCTGGATGTGCCTCTTGATGGTGCTGACCTTCAACGTGGCCAGAGTGGCTCCACACACTATGCAGATCAGCCCGTGTCTCCTGCAGTCGTAGTCCATCAGGTATTCCATCCGCCAGCGCACCTGGTAGTTCCTCCTCTGGTCCTTCCCGGGGTAATGGCTGTGACGAGAAGGCGTGGCTGCGGTGCTGCTGTCCTTCGCTTTACCTCTTCGCCCACTCACACCTTCCTCTTTCTTCACCGTTTTACTGGGTGTTGTGATATCTGGGCAGGCGTCGTCACATGTCTCTCCTGTAGTAGCTTCTCTAAGGTTGATTTCTGCAAAAACAAATGAAACTATCTTACGCTGATGTTCTTGTCTGTTTCTTTTTCCAAAACATTTTAACAATCAGGGCTGCTCTTCTTACAGGTTTCTATGTCATATTGTGTCTTAAAGCTGTAGTATATGAAGATTTCTATATTTTACCAATGAGACTAGAACACACTATTCCACCTATTTTATCCAATCAAATTATAAACTTTATAACAAGTTGATTTTAATGTAAGAGATGTCACTTCATCGTGGACCCCTGGATCCATCTGCACTATGAACCAGTTCATGGCTCTGTTATGAATCAGTTGACTGAAGCTACTACTACTGCACACAGCGTCTTCAAAATGTCCTAGAAGTTCAAAGGTCAGTACCAGATTAGCGACAGTAATGTCAGTTTAAAACAAAAGCAAACTGATCAACAAAACTATTTACAGATCAATAATAAAAGGTTAAGAAGAGATTTGGATCTTATTAGTGTGAAATGAAATAGTTACATGTAACATTTGCTGAGTCATCTCACCATCTTGAGATTGCATGTCTTCACTAGAATAATCTTTGGTCCAGGCAGCAGCCATGGCTTCCCTTTCTTGTCGGCTCAGGGTCGTGGTCTCAGGGTGACATTCCTTTATGTGGCGCCGGAAGCTGCTGACCTTGGTTTCGTGCAGGACCTGAGAACACACCATGCAGAACGTGTCCTGGCCCTGAGGCCCATAGGCCACCAGGTAGTCAAGGCGGAGCCGCCATGGGTCGCCCCCAGGCAGACGCCTCTTCCTGGGCTGACGAAGGGGCTGGGATCCCTGTTGCGGAGCTCCTACTCCGCCGTCCTCACCAATGAGACATGTTTCCTGAGTTAAAGTGCCATCACTTTCTGGATACAAGTCAGTGTTGATCTGGATGGCCTCCGCATCCTGAGCAAATAGGTCCATGCCTTCTTCTTTGGTGCTGGGCTCCGATTTGATTGAGTTTTCTGAATCTTCTGTTGTGGAGCAGAGAAACATATCATGTGTTATATCAAGCGCATTAAAAAAAGGTCTACTTTCCGACTACAGATCACATGAGGTTTTGGGACTGTTACGGTGTCAAACATTCATGGAAAGAGCCTGAATGATCAAACCAAATAGTCAACACACTCAGGAACTGTGGTTGGGAGGCAGTGTTGTAAGAGGGTGACAGGATGTCCAGGGTGCTTGGCTCATTATGTTACCTAGACAACACGGATCCAGATAAGTCATCATAAAAATGGTTACTGGATGAGTGGATTTGTGCTTGCGATACATTTCAAAGTTCAGACAGATAAGAATAAGGCCCAATCCCATTTCACCCCTTCTCCCTAACCCCGGTTATCGAGGGTCATCTTGCCCCTTGAAACGGAGTTACAGGGGTTAGTGGTTGAAATCATATACGAATTGGGTGAGCCCTTCCATTACATCATCATCGCGAAAAAACCTGACACGTCAAAAAATGTTGCCAGGGATGTTGTTGTTGAGATCTTAAATAAACCAAATCTATTGTTTGCCGTTAGTAAAGTTGCAAACCTGTGATATCCAAATAACATCTATGCTAATGCAGGTAAATCAATGAAAAGCCTGGATGCTCGGTATTACTTCACGTATGAATCAAAAGCACACAGCTTCAGGCTACTAGCCGTGGTCTGTATAAAACCCTGCCAGGAGGCTTTGTTATAAGAGGAGCAGTTCAGTTCAGTAACATCGCTGCTGGAAGCTGGTTAAATCAAGTGTATCGTGTATCTTCAATGGGACATGAAATTGTGTTTTTGAGTGCATACAGTGTGATGCAGTCTGTTCTCACCATGAGTCTGAGCCCAGGCCTGAAGGATGCAGTGCTTCTCCTCTGAGCTGAAGACCAGGGAGTTAGGGTGTGTGTCCAGCACATGGCTCTTGATGTGGTCAAGGTGAAGGGAGGGCAGCTCTCCTCCGCACACCATGCACAGCAGCCGGCCAGCCTCTGCTTCGTACTCCATCAGGAACTCCTGACGGAACCAAGCGTGCAGTGAGTCATTCAGGTAGCGCTCCAAAGTCTGAGCTGTTGGTCCGGAGAGATCCTCCTCCTCCTGCTCCTGGGGCTGCTGGACGTCAACCTCCTCAGACTGGGGAGACAGACTGAGGGCTTGTTGTGGCGGCTCATGGGGAGCAACAGGATCCAGGGCTTCTGCAGGGAATCAAGAAGACAGGACAGCTCGTATTCAAAAAACAAAAAACAAAAGGGGTCTTTCTGGTAATACCACCAGGGAGAAGAAATGTCCAATTAAAAAAATAACATCATTCATTTGACTGTTTTGTTCCAATGTGCAAACAGTATTACATTCAAAGCTTTGAAGAATTATGATATTTACATTTGTGAGCTTGTTCTTGTGCTACACTACTTACTCTTACCTACCAGGATCTATAAATGATTTACTAATCAGTTCTAAATGTTTGTTGTTTCATTTCAAAAAGTAGCAGGAGGTGTGGGGATGGTAACAAAGGGCCTGGAGGAAATTCATGCTATGCTCATGCTTTCAAGTAGGCTATGAAACATATTTATTTCCATTATTGTCTTAGTACATGTGCATGACTAAAGAAGTGCTGTGTCCACTTGTTTGCACTACATGCAAGGTCTGACTGGAAATAACAGTTAAATAACGAATGCAATTAAGTAAAAAGTAGCAATAAAGAGATGAAAACCTAAATATGAATCTCTGTTCAGTACAGAGGTGGAGTCAAAATGTGGTTAGCTTAGCTTAGAGACTGGATGAAGGGGGACACAGCTAGCCTGTTCGAAAATAAGGTATGTTCATCTAAGGTATGATGAGGGGGGTTATTTGGGGGGGTACTAATGTATTTCACACAGACTTTGTTTTCATTTTCTGATGAACTCTACCTTTAATTTAAAAAAAAGTTTAATTTCCAACAGAGAGTCTGTCAAAGCAGTGTTTTGTGCCACGTCACAGTTAAAATGCATGTGAATAATAAACATGTCTGCTCTGTTTTTCAATTCACTGAAATGTCAAAAGCTATAGTGATTGCTTTTCCCTTTCTACATGTCCCAACAGGCAATAATTCAAAATATATAGCTTCTCCAATATATCTAACATTTTTACCAGTCATGCCCAGGCACCGTCCTCCCCTCTCCATTCTCCGACACATCATTAGTGAATCATTACATCATTGTCTCCTCCTCTCACTCGGAGCCAAAACACAAACTTATACTGCCACCAAGTGTGAGATCTGCAACACTTCCAGCCTTGTCTGAGCAGAGTCATACCCACCAGCAGCATGTTGGCCTGAGTCCAGCTGCTCCTCTTCTTCCTGTGGTAAAGGTCCAGCAGCAGAGCTGTACGATCTCTGACTCCCCCCCAGGCTCAGATGGCTCTCCCAGCCCGAGCGGATAACCTCCTTGTCGGCAGCACTCCACAGCAGGGAGTCTGGGTGCTTCTGTCTTATGTGTCTTTTTATGGTGCTGAGCTTCAGAGTGGCCAGTGAGCTGCCGCACACCATGCAGATCATCCCGTGCCGCTGGGGGTCAAAGTCCATCAGGTACTCACTGCGCCAGTACTCGTGGTAGTAGCGGCGGTGGTCCCGACCTGGGATCCGGCTGAGGCCTGGGCGCGAGGCCCTCTGGACCCTGGGCTTTCGTCCAGAGGGCCCAGGGGCCGGCGAAAGGAGCAGCGGGTGGTCAGGTCCCTCCGTGATGCTCCAGTAGCTGGTACCTGGAGATCTGACAGGCGTGACCATGCCAGCCCCTGACTCCTCCCCACCATGGCCGTTGGCAAGACCATCCTCTTCTAGCAGAAAGAGAGAGAATACAAATAAATCTTTTTAGTTTGTAACTTCAGACAAGTACGGTAAATATCTCTTTAGTATGGACAAGCAGTCCTATGTTTTCTAACAGGCCACATTCTTTTGGGGGTGTTCAATGGCTCAAAAACACGTATTATTTTAAAATCATAAAAATAATCAATGACAGAGAGAGTCTGTATCTGATGTTGATCTGGCTGAAGCCTGACCCATTTCATGACGTCAGTACTGAAGCAGATTGATCTTTGATATTTGTCCTCGTGCACTACAATATTACACTGTGACAGAACAACTGATCAATTATTCAATTCAATTCCATTTTACTTGTATAGCGGCAAATCGTAGCACTTTACGTATTAAGGCCAAGACCATGAAATTGTAGAGACACCTAACATTTTCCACAATAACCGGAAGATACCAATGTGAGCAGATGATACACAAAATGGAATATGTCACCTGTTAAATAACAAGAATAGTCGAGATGAGTTTCACTATCCAAACAGTAATGTGCAAAAGTCTGTTACAGCCAGTTCAATGTTTCGATCAGACACTGTAACATGTGTATGGGGAACAAGCTGTGGAACTATTAACGTAAAACTTAGTCTCATGTGCACATATCTCTTGATTTAAACTGACAGATGAATTCCACATATTGTCATAATATCTACATTATATCACATTGTTGTAACTTAGCTTGCTTGCATGGCTTAAACAGCCTCTGAGTGTGTGTTTTTTTCCCATCAATGTGAATGTGGATTCTCGTGTTGTTTATTATCACATTATTATTCCTGCAGCTCATTTCACCCAACCAGCCATATTGAGTTGTTTGTTGGCCGCTGTGAGGCGCTGCTCTCCGCTAGGTGGCAGCAGTGTGTGTGTGTCCGCCTGCCTGCGTGCTGTTGAGCCTTTGTTTATAGGAGCCACAGAGACAGAGGGGCCATGCTGCTCGCTGGCATTGTCCCTGACACAGAGTAACTGGCTGCGGGACAATGGCCGTGGCCCTGACAGCCACACAGCACCCGCTCAGCAACAATAATGACACCGGTTTTCTCCCCTTTACCTCCCAGCTCACTCTCCTCTGGCGTCGCTTCCTCCTCTCCGCTTATTATTAATGAGAGCAGCTCAGTCTGCTCGGCGCACCGGGGCTCGGGCTCCAGTCCCCCGCTCTCTGCCTCTTCCATCACCGGCCTCTTGAAACCCTGGCTCGTCTTCCTCCTTCCGTCCCTGTAGCGCAGCGCCGACTTGTCACGCTCACGACAACAACATGTTCGCGGCAGTAACGCGCTCACCCCGCTCGACACGCATCTGTCCGCCGGAACGAGCCGAGGAGCCCGTGCTCTGCGATGTCTCCCCCCCCC